GCGCAAGTTCAGGGATTTTAAACCCTCGTAGACCACTGAACATTACTGGAAGCTGAATTTGAAAATACCTGCAAAAAAATGCCAAATGAAGTTATCAGTACACTCAGCAATTGAAAACGCCCTTGAAAAAGAGAGAGACTTAAAATGATTTGTCTTGTTGAGAATGGAGTCTGACAGATGTGCCCAACATCTAGAATAAGACACCTCCATCAAGTAAGCCAGAAGAAGATGGAGGATGGAACACATTGTCCTTTGTACTCACACCTAGAGGTGAAGCCTTATCACTACTTCTGTCCACTGTGTGCTTTAGGACCCATAAGGTCACCAGGCCATTAAAACCCTGGTCCCTTCTCTCTCTTCCAACTTCTCCAAGAGGAGAAGTGTATCCGTCTCCTTTTGCCAGAAAAACATCTCTATCCAAGCTTTTCTGATGCAGGCCTGTCAGAAGCAGACAGCAACAATGATCCATAAAAGGACGCAACGGGAGAGCCTGCCTAAGGACTAGAAATTCAGCACAATGACACAAGGTCTTGCCAGCGGACTCAAATCCAAACGGGGGCAACGCAAATGGTTATCACAGGGCTGCAAAGCAAAAACAGGACAACAAAGGAGCATTCCCCAATCTGCAACACGTTCCATCAAGAACTCCTGCACAGCAAAGATTATATTATTCAACACTGGAGTCACAAAGTTTCCCAACCTGGCCCATTCAACAAGGAGTTCCCGGCTAGGAAAGCAGCACACTAAAGTAAATTTCAGACATGATCTGGGGCGGAGGTGGGGGCCAGGATGCCATCACTTCTCTGGATGAAGCATATGAAAAATGGCAGAGGCAAACATCCCTAAGAAGCAACAAAGAGGAAGACCCGGGTGAAAAGTGTAGGAACACTACAATAAAACCTTCAACCAAGATCTTTAGCTCCAGAATATGCAGCACTGATCTTGCATGGCACAGGAGCAGAACATCCCTTGGGGAGCACCTGAAGAGAAAACATGTTGAGGAATGGGTGAAAGGGACTCAAAGGCCATTTCACCCCTTGGCCCTACCCCTTCATTTTGCGCTTTCACGTGTAGGGGTAGGCTGTCCCAACATATATTGGGACAGAGGGGCAGGGCTAAGGAGTAGGGCTTTATAGCCTTGCAAACTGAGATTTTTCTCTCTTCAAACCTAGGGATACCCAGAATGCCTTGTAAATCACCGGCAGACCAGGAGAGAGACCCACAAATGTAGTATTTTCTCCATTAATAAGGATTTAAAAATTACGACAATGATTGTAATATCTAAGTTTAATATTGTTTCAATGTATTATGGTCCTTTTTTGACAACCTGCCTTAAAAAAAAAGATTGTGCTAGTGTTAGAATGCATGATAATCCTGTATTTTCATATAATTTTATGTCACACCCCCTCCTTGAAGACACATGATGCACACGACTTAAACAGCGTATAGAAGCGAGTTACTGAACTTAACTGCTCCTCTAATAACAATGAATCCTGTTAGGGTTGCATACAGACCACTGCCTGTGTGCTTTTGATTCATATGTGAAATAATGAAGAGTATCCAGGCTTTTCAATTACAAATGTCATTGATTCACCTGCATTAACATGGATTGTTGGATTATTTGGACATTATAGGTTTGTCACTTAACTTCAAGAAATAGCATTGGTTTATTTAAAATCTCAACAATGTTATAACGACGACATCCCCGCCAAACTTTTGGTCTTGTTTATTTACATCGAGGACTACTGATGATGTAACGGCTTCTTGAAGGGCTGTCCCTTTAAGAAGCCGTTACATCACCATTACACTACCCCTTATTCCGTTTCAAGGGTCAAGATAACCATCAAAAAGAAGGGGTAGTGGTAGGGCCCAGGGGTGAAATGGGATTGGGCCAGACTGTGTAAATTTATAAAGGCTTACATGTGGGATATGTCAGTTATTGTTTGTAAAAACTGTTTGCAAAGTTGCCATGTCTTCCCTGGCTCAACGAACAAAAAAGAGAGAGAGAAGGCAGCAATGGCTGAGTGACCTATAGGCTGAATGAATGGAACAAGCACCAATAGTGATCTCAAAGCAGTGAAAGAGAGATGGGAATGTTTCACAGCAGTTCCGTTCTAAACACTAGAACAATACTGATAGAAGTGGCATTGCCAGGTTTTGTGTAAATGGAGACATGAATTCAGCCCAATGGAGCTTGTCTACTGACCATCCAATGAGTCTGTGCTGTGAGTGACAGCCACACCTCTAGTGCACACAGCTCTCTGTAACAGAGAGGCACATTCAAAAGGCAAAGCTGTTTCCTCAGGAACTATGACTGGTCAGAAGTAAACTGTAGAAATCTGATAGTGGAATAATCGAACAGCAAGTTATACATTTAGTTCACATTAGCATGCTGAAGATATCGTTCACATGGCAAAAAATTTGCTTTGAAAAATGTGAAAAAAATGTGTCTCAGCGACCTTCACCTTGGACCTTTGACCACTTAAGTCTAATCAGTTCATCAAGTGAATGAAATTTGAAGAAATTCCCTCAAGGCCTTAATCTCCTTGTGTAAATATTATGAATAATGTAAATATTCCAAGAAAAAAAGTAAATTGATATGAATTAATTGAACAAAATAATGTCTTCATCATTATGACTTGCTCTAATATAGGTACAGGATTAATGGCTCCGATCAGTTACTACAGTAGTAATGTGAAGGGGGTTGGTTTTGTCTCAACAGATTCTTAGGAGAAATGCAGAACCTTCCATTAGAAACCAGACTTGATGTCTAATAGAGGTTTTAAATGTATCATAGAGATGATTTATTATTTCTACTGACATTCAGCATTCAATATATAGTAGAGATATTTTTTGTAGTGAAGACGATGGGAAGAGTTATTTTAAATAGACATTTCTTGTCTGTGTCAGGACAGGGAACATGAAATTCACTTCAGTCAGGAACACTATGTCATGATTTACCCATTTGTTGCAAATGGGGACACAGTTATGATTGGCGCTGAAGGTCCCATTCCTTGGAAACTTGTGCAGAACCCCCTTTTGGGTGTAGCAGGCAATATGCTTTATTTAAGGATGAATATCGTTTACCACGACCGTGTTTGGACTCGGTGCTAAAAAGGTGGAGGCAAGTTGCTGGCAGTGGCATCTCAGTGAGGATGAGGTCGTATTTAAAGGGACCGCTTTGGTGAGAGAATGAGCTGTGATTGGTGGATAGCTGACGAGCACCCATAAACCTATCAGTAGCTGACAGCTGAGCACATGACTCTGTGTCCTGCATGAACTAACGCAATGCTTCATGAGTAAGATACAGGTGAAGATGATGCAAGTTCTCTATCACTGATGATCTGTTACAGCAGATTTATTTAAAAGAAATAGGTGGTTTTCGTGTAGTCCTGCCACCAAACAAACTAGGATGTCATTCAGTGGAGCAAATACCCTTAAAAATTTCAAAATATGCCCCATCTCACAATGTAAAAGAAAGTGATATGAAAAGTCCCTGGATCCGCCCCCTGATCTGTACAGGCACCAAAGTGTAATGGGTTCTTTTCTGACATATACAACATCCTTCCTCCAAGTTTTGTGATAATCCGTCCAGTAGTTTTTGCATAATCCTGCTAACAGACAGACAGAAAAATAAAAATGCTGATGAAAACATCACCTTCCTGGCGGAGGTAACTAGATACCATATAAGCTGCTTGGTAAATGGTGGGAGGTTTTATTTGATGCGAACCCCTTAATTAAAACTGAATTTTCTTCAAGCCCAAGCTGAGAAAACGGCTGAAGACACTTGAGTAATTCTCTCAGACATGACAAAGCTTCCCACAGCCATAAAGAACAATATAGAACTGCTTTCATGGCTGAGTGGAACTTTACGATTAGTAAATTGACTCAGACATGTAAAATCAGTGGAGTGCTTCACTGGTTTCTTCTCTCATGAAACTCACTCTCTTTCTCACAACTTCTCTCTCTCTCTCTCTCTCTCTCTCACACACAAACACACACACACACACACACACACACACATCCAGCAATATGTTTAGTTTTCTGACTCAAAGGACATGTGTGGAGCGATAGCACAAACACATGTACAAGTACAAACAAAACAACAGCCTGAGTTGTGAGTCATCCTCACTGTGGCTGAAAGTAAAGTTTAAATGCTGCAGTCTGATTCCAGGCCTGTTTCTATCTTGAGAGCAGGAAAAAAGCACATTAAATGTTCCCTCTGCATGCACCTGTCTGACACGGTTCTGCTGAAATTTGGCTTTCATGAGATGGTGCGTGTTCTGTGCTCTCTGGTGATGTGGACTCCTCTGTGGAGGATTGTAATGCCTCCTTTCACTGTGGGCTGGATTTCCTACACCGTACAGGCTGCTGAGGTTACTGCCCAGTCTCCTGGAAGCTTTGCTGGAGGTCTCAGAGGGTCCTGTCTCTTTGGCAGGAAGTTCGATGATATTCTAGCAGCGTGGACACGAGCGATCAACAGAACACGACTTTAAAAATACTGAATGAAGAAAACATTCCACATCTGGATTAAATGGCACTTTGTAAAGCCTAGTACTTTTCATACTTCCTTGGCATGACAACGCTTCAGCCCTCTTCCCAGCCATGCGTTTCCAAATCGGTTCACCAGAAAAACAGCGGGTTGTTCTGCAGCTTGTTCCGCTTCTATAATCCCTGACCCTCAGCATGTAGAGAGGTTATAGGAGTCATTCACAGAAATAACTAAATGTCCTGTGCTGCTCTCCCCGGGGAGACAATACACCAGATGCTCTCCGGGGCAAATCGGTCTCCGCCATGATAAGAGAGATGATTCAGAGAAGCCGGCGAATGTTACTTAGTATAAAATACTGTTTTCTTTGTGTTTGCACATCTGCAGTACACTCTAGGTTTTCTTAGTCACATGACCTTTTCACCTGTAAAGGTGTTTAAGGTTATAAATATGTATTGATGATGTTTATTAATAAAGTATAAAAGAGCAGGAGAGAGAAGAATGTGCTCACCAGAGGATGTTGAGTATAGTGCAGGTTGTCAGGCCGCCGAGAACTGCTCGTCGAAACCACAGGATCTGGACACAGAAAATAGTCACTCATAACATACATCATAAATGTGATCATAGCATGCCAATACAAAACTAGTGACCATTAAGAAGTGATAATAGTAAATTATCTGCCATAATCTGCAAGCTCTAGTTTCACAACCAGTTATTTTGTGTGCAAATGAACATTGTTGAGAAAAACTCTTTCACACAGAAAGACTGTGTTTCTGTGTTTTGATCCACACCCCCTGGTGCACCTGACTGTCTCAGTATGTTTTATGCAAAAATATCTGTGTACTATGCAAAATACTGCTCTTCAAAGCCACCTCAGAGACAATGATCTGCCAGGGATGATGATACCACTTTTTGTTTTTGCTGCATCTCTGTATCCCAGTCAGATGTAGGTGGTTATTTCTTTGAAGCAAAGTGTTGTTCTCACAATGACATTGAGAAAAATATAGTTTCCATAAATCAAAAAACTCACGACAGAGCATGTAGAGTCTATACACAGTTCTTTATTTCTCAAAATATGAATTCAAAAAT